AGTAGCAATACTTTTGACTTGCCCTTGTATATTACAAATATTATTCTTACTTCCTCTGTCTTTTGGCTTTTACTGTGTTTCTAGTCTTTTGTTTTCTTATAAAACATATTTTCTACTCATAGTTCATCAGGAAGACTTTTTATAACAAAAAGTTGATTTATCAGCTTAGCTTTTGTTATTGATTTCTAGCTTAGTGAATTTGGTTAGAAAATATGTAGATCAAAACCTATCTAATTTCTTTTTTGACTCATTTATTAAAGTTATACTGGTGCCTACAAAATGATCTTTTTGTAAATAAGTCACAAACATTTGAAAAGTTTCTTTCTGTCTTCATAGACATTAAAATAGATCTAGTATAACAGCGTGGCACTGTGGGCTAATGCATCAGACTGCAAAGATGTTTGAACTGCAAGGTTGGTGGTTCAAGCTCACCAGCTGCTCCTTGGAAATCTTGCACAGGCTCACTATGGGTCAGAATCGACTTGATGGCACTTAAACAACAACAACAACAACAAGTATAAAAGCAAGGACTGCAAGCCCAGTTCAAACTCAGCAGTTGCTACTTGGAAACCCTATAAACAGTCTGTGTGAATTGGAACTAATTTGATGACACTTAAAAACACCACCAGTAAATACACATTCATTTATTTGTTATTGCTGTTAAGTACCATCTCGTCAATTTGGATTCATAGTAACCCTGTATAGGAATTCTGAGGCTTTCAATGTTTGTGGAAGTTGAAAGACTCATCTTTCTCCTACAGAATGACTGGTGGGTTCGAACCACCAACCTTCTAGCTTGCAGTGCAATACTTATTCTGTGGAGCTACCATACTCTCTTAGTATTTGAATACTCTATACTTTTCCCCTATTTGATTGATCGAAACCTAAGGCAGATTAAAATTAGCAAATATTGGTGTTTTTTTCCTCATTATTTTCTCCTTTTAAATCTCTTGACTCATGCATTTTAAAAATGACCATTGTAGTCTACCTGGCGGTTTTTCTTTTTTGTTAAAATTCTACTTTGATGGTTTTATTATTTTTCTCTCAATACTTTTTTTGTGTTTATTTGCATTTCCTTATTATGTCTTTGTTCAGCTTGTTATTTTCAAGGTTACAGAGTCAGTCTATTTTAGATGTTTAGATGATCTGAGGGCTTTTCTCAATTTTAACCCATTTATACTTATTGTCACAACAGAAATATTCTTTTGTCATTTTCATTACACAGTTTCAATGCTTTCAGGCTGTATTTTAAAGTGTGTTTACTCTATATGTCCAATTTTCTTTCCTTTTAATTTTATTTTCCTGTTGAGACTATGGAGTCCTAGTGCGGCACTGTAGGATAAGCACTCGACCACAAGGTCGGTTTGAACCACAAGGTCAGTGGTTCAAACCTACCAGCTGCTCCTCAGAAACCCTACACACTGGCACTATGAGTTAGACCAGACTCGACAGAACAAACAGCAAGAGTGTTCATATGTTCCATTAGTCCACTGAGGAGGATGTTAAAGTGATAGAATGATTTGTGCTCAACTACAAATCAAAAAGTTATCTGTTCAAGTCTACCCAGTGGCACCACAGGGAAAATCTACTGTAATCTCTTTGTGAGATTACAGTCATTGAAAACCCCAGAGAACACAGCTTTGCTTTGAAATATATGGGTTTACCGGAGATCAGAATCTACTAGATGGCAAAGGGCTTGGGTAGAAGTGAAAAGTGAGGAATATTTAAACCAGAGCTATGACATTTAGATCCAGCTGCCTTTCATGTACAAAAATGACCCTTTCAGATGATTCAGCATAATAGCATAAGTGGAATCTTGGTGTGGCGCTATAGGAAAAGCAAGATTGGTTTGAACCCCGAAGTTCAAAGCCACCAGCCACTCCTTGAAAATCCATACAGGGTCATTTGATGGCACTTAATAACAATAAATCACAGGAATGGAAAGGTAAGGAAGAATGTGGAGTCCTGGTGTGGCACTGTAGGATCGCCACTGGACTACTAACTGCAAGGTTGGTAGTTTTAACCCACCAGCTGCTCCCTGAAAACCCTATACAGGGTCACTGTGAGTCAGAACCAACTTGATGGCACTTCACAACAACAAGAAAAAAGAAAATGAATGTAAGGGATCAGGTCAGACATAAGGGAAAAGTCAGGCAGATCTGGAATGTCAAGGTGAGCCGCTCGGAGGTCCACATTTCAAGAAGGATGGCCTGTTTGTCAGTGAGTGGGGAGAGGGTGTATTAAGGAATAGTATGCTCAGGCCAATTGCCTACAGATTAAATGCACACCTGACATCTAAGGAGCCCTGTGGTGCTGTGGGTTAAGCATTGGTTGCCTACTGAAAACTCAGTGGTTCACACCCAGTAGCTTCTCTGTGGGGAGAAGGTGCGGTAATCTATTTTTATAAAGTTTCACAGCCTCAGAATCCCTGAATAGAACAGCTCTATTCAGTCCTGTAGGGCCACTAGGAGTTGGAAGTGACTTGATAACAGTTGTTTGGTTTTGGCTTATGTGGCCTCTAGGTGGGAATATGAGGCGACTTCAAAATGCTCATGGAACACTTCCATTATCATTTAAATCCACTTTTCCTCAAACTTTCTGAAGCCCTTCATATAGATGTGTGAGCGGATGAGTGAGACATATTCAAGTGAAAGGTCTGGGATGTAGAGCTGGGCTTGAAGGTTCTCAATGAACAGGAAGATGAGTAGTGGTGGCCCCCATTTGAAAAACAGTTATAACAGTAGAATTGTCCAAAAACTCAATGAATAAACCAGTAGTGGTAGACTATTTTCTAGATCTATGAGGAAAACCACAGGAGTGATGTGTCCTTTGAAAGGACAGCCAGATGTGAAGAAGCAGTGAACATTGGCCACTGTAAAGGAATGGCTCTATATTGATGATCATTATATCCCACTGCCATTGAGTTGATTCCCACACAGTGATCCTATACGAGACTAAACAGAACTGCTCCTTAGCGTTTCCGAGACTATAAATTTTTATGGGAACAGAAAGCCTAATCTTTTTATCTCAGATGGGTTTGAACTAATGACCTTGTAATTAGTACCCCAGTGCTTAGCCCACAGCATCACTAGGGCTTACTAATAATAATTGTGGCAAACATTTTTTGCTAACTTACTATGTTTGAGATTCTATTCTAAACATGAATGTTGTCTCTTTTCATCTGCAAGATGACCCAATAAGGTAGACACGACAGTTACCCTGGGTTTTAGATGAGGATGCTGAGGCATACAGCTATGAGGTAACTTGTCAAAAATACACAGTAGTGGCACTTCAGAACTAAAGCCCAGACCTTCTCACTCCAGAGCCAAGCATTACACTGTCTTCCTTCTTCAAGGTGGTAAAATATGCATTGGATTAAGCAATTAGGATATTATTGGTATCTGCCATGAAAATAATTTCAATGGATTCTAATGGATTGAAGTTTTGCCATGGGAAATAAAGGGGTATTGTTGAGAAAGAGTGTGGATAAAATTATGGAGAATTAAAAAATATAATTAAAATATATCTGGACTGTATTAGAGAAGAATCTGCTAGAGAAGGTGGCCCAAGCTAGGAGAAACCCAAGCATTATGTCAAGGTCAGGGATAAAAGGCGGGGGTGGGGGGTGGTTTGGAGATCTAGGGAAGGAGAGAGGAAGAGGAAAAGATAATCAAGCACCAAAGCAGATGGAAAATACAGAAGGGGTATGGATCAGGAGCAGAGGTGTGCCTTGCAGAAAGGAGGTAGTGGTAGGTGTGGCTGTAGATTAGATTTGTGGATAGGAAGTTCTAGTTCAGCTTTTGTCTCCTTAAACTGTGGGAGTCTTCTGGGAGGATGTAGGTGGATATTTAAAAGGGACATTTGTGTGGAATGCAGGAGTGGAGAAGGCAAGTTTATTCTGGGTGTGGCAAAAGCGAGATAGGGTTATAAAGGAATGGAGTCTGTCTATGAGAGTGGTACCATTGATTGACCAATATGGTGGTGGATCCCAGGTTACTGAGAATACAGAGAGGTCCCGGCAGGCATACAGAGTCAAGAAAACTAGAGGTCTAGGGGACTGTGTGTGGTAGAGGATCAGGCTTCAGAGGAATGTGTTGGGAAAGGATTGTGAGTATAGGCAACCATGCAAAAATACAAGAGATCAGATTTGGAATTTGTGGAGTGGGAAGAGACACATTTATGAGTGTGAGTGATGGGAGGAGAAAAACACTGGCATCAGGGAGGCCAAGGGTGTTGGCCATGTTGTCCACACAGATCTCCCGGGAAGACAGAGGTTGGGTAAAAGGAAAGACATGAACTTAATTATAAAATATTTTGTGAAACATGCAAAATATGTAGGAGTCAAAGTAGAAATTTCAAATACCTTGTTGCCCTCTAATTTCTAGATACCAACAATCACGTGGCTTATTTTCAAGTGATGTTATTAACAAATTCCAAAGTGGTGCTGTAAGATGAGCGCTGGACTGCTTGCTACAAGGTTGACTGTTCAAATCTACCAACTGCCCTTTGGAAGCACTATTCAAGGTCATTATGAGTAGGAACTGACTTGACAGCACTTAACAACAAGATATTCCATAGGGATATTGAATCAAATCAATGTATGCCCTCCCAGTAAGCTTCTCCCTCATCCAGCCTAAGAAAGTTCGGGATATTAGGAAGCAGTTCTTCTCCGTGCTTTGCTTGAAACCACAGTGAGAATGGAACAGATCGGGGTCTCTAGACCAGATTTGGGTTGTTTCTTCTGTATCCAAGCATTATGTCTAATATTCATTATTTTCCATATGGCTAAATTTTCTTTTGCTAGTCACCAGAGTTTGACCATTTTACCTTTTTTTGAAAATCCCAGCCAATTTCTAGAGGAGTGTCTTATCCTAATGTAAGGTCTCTTTGGCTGGTTCTGATGGGAAACTTAAATAGAAAGGGTTTTACGGGTGGATCGTTCCTATGATGAATGCTTACAATCACTCCTGCGAAACTGACTCCCTCCCTGTATGTTGCAGGTGATATTTGAATCCGTATCTTTGAAGGGTCATCCTGGCTACATCGCTGTGGACGAGGTCCGGGTCCTTGCTCATCCATGCAGTAAGTCTGTCTCCTACTTTCATTATAGCCTTGCTCTGTGCCAGACAGGGAGCTCAAAGGCTGCAATCCATCCTATTCATTCAGCTCATAAGCATCTCTCTCCCTCTCTCTCTCTTTTAATCCTTCAAAAATGCTTACATACTCAATGCAATCAGTCCTGAATAAATCCATAATTTTGCCAGTCTGTTCAACAGGCAGCACCTACAGAAATTTGCAGAGAGTAGCAAAACATCTTCGTTCACATCTCTCTCCATTATTAAGGGAGTCTAAAGTCCTGATTGTTTATTAGTGGGATTCAGACCACTGAAGTGGAAGAATTAGAGGGCTTTGGATAGAATCTTGTGCAATTGTCTTAAAAAAAAGAACATCACCAAAACACTGAGCAAATTAGCACACTGTTCACTCACAGGGAAAAGTACCCCAAAGTTATTAATTCTTTATAAATGATTTTAGCTACACTCATCAGCTCTGCGTTGGCAGAGGGTGAGATTTCTCATAGTGGTTAGCATTTATCCTGCAGTGTCAAGAGTCCTCCAAAGCCTGCCACTCTTCCATGCCCACCCCATTTCACCTGGTATTTCTCTTGGCTGTATTAGGTTAAAGATGCTTGAGAGCATTTTCATAGGGAGCTGTGCTTCTTGGGTTCATTTGGTCCCAGAGGAGACATGCCTTTGGTGCAGGTGGTTAGGATCATACCACCCCTACTGATACTGGTGACATGGGGGAAGGTGGTAATACAAGGGACATGCATGGGGATTATGGTAACCCTTTGGATGGCTAACTGAGATGCCACTCAAGTTTGGTAGTGTTCTCCAGATTGGAGATCCCATTGGCTTCTTGGCAGCCTTCTGGTTCCAGGTAATCTGTAAGTATTCATGTTGTTGTTATTGTATGCCAATTTATACAGGACAGAGTAGAACTGCCCCGTAATGTTTGCTAGGCCGTAATCTTTGTGGGACTAGATTGTCAGATTGTTTCTACCATAGAGCATAGCAGCTGGTGGGTTTGAACTGCCAACCTTTTCGCTAGCAGCCAAGCACTTAACTATTGCATCACCAGGACTCGATAACCCTAAATAGTCATCTGTCATGCTATAGGCTATGTGTAGTTTGTTGCTGCCTCAAAAGACACCATATGTCCTCGTCAATCCTTGTCTTGCGATTCTTTCATTTGGGGGCTATTCTAAATTTGGCCCCTTCCATGTTACTGTAATTAAAATGACTTTCCACTTCTGTTGCAATGAATTTATCAGGCCCTCAAATATCATTTCCTTTCTCAGAACTCAAACGTCAGAGTTTGAGTCATTGTCTTAGAGCACCTTCTCTGGGGAAATTTGGGACAGGTTTCTAGGGCCTTAAGCAAAACAACATTTTGGGTAGCTGTATTCTATATCTGTACAAGAGAGATTCCTCCTCCCTTCAGTCAGCCAGCATTTCAGGAATGAGGTCATCCTACTGGCCTACCCATTATTGTGGCTATAGCTCTCTACCCTTTAGGTTATTCCCTGAACCTGTAAGATGTTCCCCAAGGTGTCTGTCTATCCGACTGAGCCTGAGAAATGTCTCTGCTGTGCCAGACATAATGCCAAGATGGGCCCAGGATATGAGTGTCCTCGCAGGATTAAATCTTTCCCTCCTTCAACTTCTGAGAGTTAACATCAGCTGCCCACTGGAGAATGATTTTAACCCTAACACTAAGCAGATGTGTCGGAAGATGTTTACTCCACCTTTGGTCCCTTAAACCTCACACATTCAACCCTGTAGTCCATGGGTTTGAGATTGGTGTTGTTAAGTGCTGTTGAGTCAGTTCCAACTCATAGTGACCCTGTACAGGGTTTCTGAGGAGCAGCTGGTGGGTTTGAATTGCCAACCTTGTGGTGCAAAGTCCAGTGCTGATCCTATAGCCCCACACCTTCCCCAGGCCCTTGCACATACACTCCATCTCTAACTCAGAGAGGGCACTTTCCTTTTGGGCATCCAGCTTCATTCCTACTTCTTACCCTAGACTAGACTTGATATTTGGACTTTGTCCAGCAAGTAAATGGCTTTTGGCTTTTCCCAGGAGATTCTGGAAGGGTCTCAGAAGAACCTGGATGAGAGAATCTCTCCCTGACTCACAGAACTCTGTGTTATAATGAGAAGCTTTCTTTCTGCCATGGCATCCATCCTGCCTCTTGTCCCAGCCCCAGGCACTTGTTAGACCAGTTTGTTAAAAGTTCTGCCTTAGATTCAAGCTCAAGGTTTGCAAGCAGAAAAAAGCACATGCTTTCTTCTCTCAGATGAATCTGCATGGGAGGGGGTTCTCTGGAGAGCATTTGGGTGCCTTGATACCCCTGAAGTCTCTAGGCTCCTCCTCCCACAGGACTCCTCGTGAATTTAGGATTCTCCTGACAACCTCATCCTCCTACTGACAAGTGTGGATGACATGCTTCAGGAGTTGCTCAGAGACAGTTACCCAGCAAATGACCCATGGGCTATATTTTAGGAAGACGTGACCCTGGCTGGCTTCCTGTGAAACATGCTTAGACCAAGTTAAATCTCCGTGCTTAGGTAGCTTAAGCATAAACTTTCCAGACATCACAATGTGAGACCCCTGTGATACTGGTCTGAGATGGAAAAATTACATTTATCTTGTATGAATGAATAGCAATCATATATATCGCCCTTAGAGGTACAGACATATAGCTCATGAGTCATACGGGATTGAGCAGAGATTGGCAGAAATCCCTTTCTGAAGACCTATGTTCAATCCAACGAGCCCTGGTGGTGCAGTGGGTTAAACTTTGGGCTGCCAACCACAAGGTCAGCAGTTTAAAGATGAGATTGTCTGCTCCCATAAAGATTTATGGACTTGGAAACCCTATGGAACAGTTCTCCTCTGTTGTATGGGGTTTCTGTGAGTCAGAATGGCCTTGGCAGCACTGAGTAAAGATGTGTGCTCAGGCCTTAATGAACCCCGGTTTTTATTCATCAGTTCCTTTAATAAGTAAAGTATTGCGTGCTGTTGTTAGGTGCCGTCAAGTCAGTTCTGACTCGTAGCAATCCTGTATAGGGTTTCCAAGGAGCGGCTGGTGAGTTTGAACTGATGACCTGGTGGTTCAAACTGACCTTGTGATCCAGTGTTGATCCTACATTGCCACACTAGTACTTCTGTCCACATGTGTAAGTCACTGAGGGAGAACGTGTCAGCTAGGATAGAGTACCATGCTCTTTGTTAAGTACCATGCTGGGCACTGGGGCTATGCCATTGACCACCAAGAAAGGTCAGTCCTTATCCGACTGATTGTTAGTTACCAACAGGGACAGAGGAAAGACTTGAAGTAAGTCACTGCAGATCGTGATGAAAACAAAAGAGAGGGATACAGGGGCTACCTAGAGCAGTCAGGGGAGGTGGCTTTGAAGATGTGACTTGAGCTGGAACCTGAGTCTCTGGAGGGAGCTCATTCTAGAAAGATTTGAGGAGGGAGGCACTGGAAGTGGGGGACACAGCACGTGCATAGGCTCTGCAGTGGAAGTAAACTCAGTCCTTTTCGTGGCCGGAGCAAAGGGGACAGTGGTCACTGTTATCACTGCAGAGATGAGCCAGGTCTTCCCCAGCAGTGTCTTAGATGACGTCATAAGCAGTTGAGATTATAATCTAAGTGCAAAGAGGTATCCCTGGAGGGATTTCTTCTGGGGAAGGATATGATCTCACTGATGTGGCACTGTAGGATCAGCACTGGACTAAAAACGACAAGGTTGCTGTAAGTCAGAACCAACTTGACAGCACTTAACAACAACAACAACAACAACAAGATAGAATAGTCCTGGAGTGACACTGTAGGATAAGCACTGGGCTGTTAACTGCAAGGTCAGTAGTTCACACCCACCAGCAGCTCCTTGGAAACCCTATACAGGGTTACTACGAGTTGGATCTGTCTCGATGGCACTTCACCACCTCAATCACTGATACAGTAGTGGTTAAGCTTTTGGCTGCTGACTGAAAGGTTGGTCGTTTGAACCCATTGTCTCTGCAGGAGAAATACCTAGTGATCTGCTTCCTTAAAGATGATAGTCTCAAAAACCTGATAGGGCTCTTCTACTCGTCATATGGGGTCACTATATCTCAAAACCACTACTTGTCTGTCTGTTTGTCATACTGTGGTGGCTTTTGAGTTGCTGTGATTTTAGAAGCTATGCCACGGGTATTTTAAATACCAGCAGGGTCACTAATGGTGGACAGGATTCAGATGAGCTTCCAGATGAAGGCAGACTGGGAAGAAGGAGAGAAGAACTACTTCTGAATATTTAGTCACTGAAAACCTTACGAATAGCAGAGAAACACTGTCAGATATTGTGCTGGAAAATGAACCCCTCAGGTTGGAAGGCACTCAAAATGCGACTGGGGAAGAGCTGCCTCCTCAAAGTAGTTGAACATGATGATGCGAATGGAGTAAAGCCCGTGGGAGTAAAGCCCTCAGGACTTTCATTTGCTGATGGGGCACAAATCAAAATGAAGAAAAACAGCTATAAACATGCATTAATAATCAGAACATGGGATACACAAAGTATGAATCGAGGAAAATTGCAAATTGTAAAAAATGAAATGGGATGCATAAACATCAATTATCTTAGGCATTAGTGAGCTGAAATAGACTGGTAATGGCCATTTTGAATCTGATAACCACATGGTTTACTATGCTGGGAATGATAAATTGAAGAAGAATGGTGTTGCATTCATTGCCAAAAAGAACATATCAAGATCTGTCATGAGGTACAATGCTGTCTGTGATAGGATAGTATCCATCCGTCTACAAGGAAGACCAGTTTATACCACTAGTATTCAAGTTTACACACCAACCACTAAAGTCAGTGAGGATGAAATAGAAGAATTCTACCAACTTCTTCGACCTGAAATTGATCAAACATGCAATGAAGATATATTGATAATTACTGGTGATTGGAATGCAAAAATTGGAAACAAAGAGGAAGGATCAGTAGTCGGAAAATATATGGCCTTGG